ACATTAATAAACATTTTATGTGCTGAATCATATTTAACAATTAATGATACTAAGGGACAAGTACTCCATCTTATCACAAAGTGTAGATAGGAGTTCTGTATTGACAAAACAAAAGCCATGGAACACCAGCAAACCTACTTAATTGCATCTGCCTTCAACTAACTGCAGTAGCTTCTGAGAATTTGAATTTCTTGCTGTCCTCAGCTGAGCCACAAGCCCCTCTCCTGGTATAAATGTTCTCTTAGCCACTGTGCAGCACAGTCTTAGCACTGGAAAGGATCTCAGTCTACTTTCCTTGGTCAGTAGAACCACAACTTTTTCAGTAGCTTTCTGATTATATGCATCTTGGAGAAAGATTGAGGAAGAAGGGTTTGGATTAAGTTCATGTATATAATGTCCAGCATACCAGCATCCTCAAAATGCTGCATCCATAGCCACCTACAAAAGTTCAAAATTTTGTATGAGCAATTTTCAGATGTTCACATGTTATATTTGCTAGTTCAATGCTTTCGTATGTGACAGTATGCATATGTTGTCATTGGGGTTTTTTTCCAGAAACACCTGCTGGGCTTTGAAAATATAGCTCTACATATTCTATTTTTTCTCTGCATCTAATTGTTTCAATGGAAGGCTAAGAATGAATAAGCAGCATACACTACAGAAAAATTCTGCCTCTAGTAACAGGGAAAATAGCAAGTTCACTTAACTTTCCTGTCAATTAATTTCTTTATAGTTTTATTCCAAATATACTTTGTTATGATGATTTATCTAGTGTTCCAACATACTAATAAATAACTAGATTTACAGAATATATTTAGAAGGTCATCATTTGGAGTAGGGTCCTATCCAAGTCCCTTTAAATGACTCCTCCTGCTTTCGGTGTGAGCTAGATCAGGCCTTTAGCACTTTATTTTTTTTAAAGCAACATTAAGCGTGGCTGTTCATTGACATTGTTTCCCAGATACCAGCAATTGTTCACTGACCCAGATATGAACTTGTATTTTTTTTCTGTCTCTGTTTATAGTGTCTCTTTCTCTGTCATGCTTATCTACCCTAGTCACAAAGACCTGTTTAACTTGCTGTGAAGTTGTGATGGACCAAATTAGAAAGCTTGCACAAAACTGTTTATAGCTGGGTCTGTCAGTGTTAGTAAAAAAAAAATAGGCAGGGAAATAATATTTACATAGAACAGAGCCCTCTATTTTACTGTTGCTACCTCCTTGCCAATATTCAGCTGCAGGAAAGGAGATTATTACTCAAAGAAAGGAGAGGAAAATGCAGTAGAAGAAGCTGGCCTAAATTGCCTCTCTCATCAACTTAATACTTCCATCGGACAAGAAAAGGTGGTAAGTTAAGTTTCATGTACTCATGGGTTTCTTTCTGAATTCTTGCCCATTTTTTGAGGAATGTTCATGCTTTTCCAATTCTCCAAGCCCTTTCCCCCAGCAAAGAAATCACAGGTTCTTTGTCAGGCTGACAAAGGCTGTGAAAGCCATAAAGGAAGTAGATTTTACCCCAAAAGGGTAATTTCTGCTGAAAAATCTAAATTTTACTCAGATATAAAAATCATGATAACTAATACATCTTATAACACAATAAGTTCTGCTATATCTGGATTCCGTATGAACCTGTTCTTTATATATAGCCTACCCATGTCAGTCTGCATCTGCTTGTTGCTAAAAATATCCATTTTAATTGCTTTTACTACACAGAAAAATCCTAAATAAAAGTTACATGTCTTGTGACACATTCATTCTTTGATGTTATAAAATAGAGCCAGCTCTGGTCTCAGTTTGTAGCAGAGTTACTTTGTACGTGCACTGGTATGTCCTATCAATTAAACACTGCATGCATGTCCAGAAAGTGTCTTGGGTTTGTTCATTTTTGGGTTTTTTTGAATAGAGGTCATGCATTTTCACTTTTTCTTTTATTTTCAATATTTCAGAACCTCTAGGAATAAATATGCCAAATCAGAGATATAAAGCTCATTTGGTCCCACAGGCCAGACAACCCATCTCTGGTGTGTAACTGGGTGGCCTCATCATCAGGTGTCCACCAGCCGCCCTGTTCCTGGGGTAACTGCCCGCTTTGCTTCCCTCCACACCTTGATGGAAAAATATGAGAGTTGTTAGTAAGGTGGGAGGCTACCCATTATTTGCCCTGCTGACAAGGGCCTAATACTCGCTCCAACCTTCCCTCCATGGGTCCCATGCCTCACAGATGTTACTCTGGTGTTACTTTTCCAGCCTATGGCTGGAGCAAACTGGGCACACAGTTGTAGCTCTTCACAACAGCCCTGGAGGGCCACACACATGCCACCCCTCTCTTACCAGGATCCCATTTACTCCACTGGCTCTCATGCAGCCTTTCATACTGCCCCCTCTCAGGGCCACACTCATCCCGCCTGGTCTCACCTGGTTTCGGGCTTACCTCTCCTCACCTCAGTCAGCCCTGGTGCAGTCTGTTAGGTGTCTCCCGCTACCCTCACCTCAGCATTGACTGAGCGATTCTATAACGATAGGCCTATTTTGCTCCTGGCCCCTTGCCAGGCCACTATGCCTTCACTGGGCCTCCTCACTTGCCCACATTTACAGGGTTACTCTAATCGTCACTCTTCTCTTTCAGGGTCTCATTACTCGTCACCAGGTTTAACCTGCCACCTGACAATGACCCCAGGTCCCTCCTTTGGCCTGGGGTCTGCCTCAGGGCTCCTAATGAGCCCTGGGCTCTCCTTGCTCATTAGGACGCCACCAGGGATCTTGGACTGGGATTACAAGGCACCCCAACCCGCCTTTCACCAGGGAGGTAACTGGCCTGGCATTTCCTGGGGGCTCCCATGCCACTAGGAGCCCCACCAGATCACCCTACCCTGGCAGGCTGCAGTTTTATGTCTTATGTCTTGCCCAGGACAAAGGGGTCACCTCCACCCCATGGCCCCTGCCCTTACCTCCTCTCAGCCTTATGTTATCTCCTTCCTTCCTGCTGCAAACTGCAGCCTAGCTTATATCACTGGGCCAAAAGAGCTGTCCTAATCAGGCACCTGGCTGCTGCCTGTTTTCTGCCCTTGAAGTGGCAGGGCAGTGACTTGTCAGCTTGGCTTCCAGAGTCAGTGTATTGGCAGGGCTTTGCAATCCAGGAGGTAAATGCTGCTGCTTCTGTCAATCTGAGTACCCAACAGTGACCCACCATGCCAAATTCAGCAGTGGAAATGGAAGTGCAGGGGTGGTGTTTCATCCTTTCAGTTCTGGAGCCATGACAACAAAGCAGCTCCAGTAGCTACACCAGCCCCACGGGCCACAGTTTCACCATTTGTGGGTGGTCAGTTGGATAACGAAATCTCTCAGGAAACATTATACTAATTAGAAGACTAGGAAAAAGAAACCCTTCCCACTTCTTTTGTATGTGTTGCAAGTGTTCCTAGATGAAGCATGTTGCAGGGGGAGGGGGAGTGAGGGAGAGAGAGAGAGAGAGAAGGATACTAGCATGAAAAAGTAACAGTTCAATGGAAAATAAACCATCTTCAGTTTCATAGTTTCATAGTAGTTTGGGGTCAGGAGGGACCTGAACAGGTCATCTAGTCTGACCCCCCGCCACTGGCAGGGGCACACCCTGGGATCACACAACCCCAGACAGGCGTTCGTCCAACTTCTTTTTTAATTTACCCAAGGTAGGAGTGAGGACCACTTCCCTAGGAAGTTGGTTCCAGATCCTAGCCACCCTAACAGTGAAATAGTGCCTCCTAATCTCTTAACCTGAACCTATTCTCCAGCAGCTTCTGGCCATTGTTCCTCGTCACCCCAGGTGCTGCTGGGGGGAATAGGGCCCTTCCTATTTGCTGCTGATCTCCCCTAACAAGTTTGTAGGCAGCCACCAAATCCCCCCTCAACCTCCACTTGCTGAGGCTGAACAGGTTCAGGTCTAAATCTCATTCAGTCTAAATCTCATTCAGAGTATAAACTTCATCATCAGTGAAACTAATATATCAGAGCAAATAGGAAACAAGCACTTATTTTCTGCTGGGAAAGGAAAGGTAAAAAAATGGGGACCCATTTGGCTTTCCAAAAACAAAAATTCACTATAAAGAAAACAATCGAGTCTGCACCCAAATTATTGGTACTACTTCTTTGAAAAAAAAGGAGACTGCATATTGGAATAGTATATATAGCATAGTGGGCCTGCTGTATGTAGCATAACACTACAAAGGGGAGGAGAGTCTTGGCATGGTCACTTAAATGTGTCCCATCTGATGTGTGTTCCTGTCTTAAGTTTAAAAAGAGCAAGAGAGAACAAAAGAAAGAAAATAGGTCATTGTCCCGTATTTGGCACACAGACAAAGCCCCCCCAGGAACTATAATACCTGCAGAATTAGACCTGCATTGGCTTGGGAATTTCACTGGCCTATGTGTTACACACATTCCACTGTCTGTAGAGTTGCACATAAAAAAATTAAATAGGAAGATTTAAAAAAACCCAAAGAAAGCATTTAAAGGGCAAATGATAACTGAGGCCATTGATTTGCTGATAACAATGAATTAAGGGCTGACTCATCTGGCCTCCTTTTGTGGCAAATTAATCATACTCATTGGTTCCCTATTTTTTTTCCCTTTTATTATCCTTAAACAGATTTACTGTCTGGAAACTAATATCAAATTCACATTTCTACCCAGAAAAAAGCAAGGATTTTGATGCTTTATTGTCTTATCCCGTTACATCTCCCATAAAGCAAAAACTGACAGATTCACATGGCAATCATTTCAGCCTGAATGAGCAAATTTTCTCTTCTTTTACTGGACAGGTTGTCTAACAAGTTGTAGCAGTGAATCTGTTGTCTAATATTTACCATGATGTGTAGGACTTTGAAATAAGGTATTTATTTAAAAGTTAAAATGATATTTGGTTAAAATAGCATTTTCCCCTGTGATGAAAATGAGATATTAATATGATTATATATATAAAACATCCTCATTTTCTCATCCCCATCACAGCAGTGTCAAACTCACCTTGGTCCTAGCAGCTGTGGTGGCAATAGGTCCAGCAGCAATTACAAGGGGTCCAAGACAGCGAGTCCAGGGGTAGTGGCCCCAACTTCCATTGCACATCAATAGCTCAGTTGCGCTGGATACAGAGGCTCCATGGGGCCATATATTTGACATCCCTGGTGTTTTGTAATCTTCAATGTGTAATGCCACAATTTATGCAGTTGTTGCATGAAATGCAGTCTAAAATAACAAAGAATGAATCAGAGGGAATTCCTCACAACACATGCACATCAGTGAACAAAATATAACTTTTGATTTCAACAGCAGCTTTGTTGAAGTGAAGAAATTATGTGTATGAAAGCATTTGGTCTTTAAAGAATAAGTAAACATATATTATTTTTAGACTGACCAATGATAAACACACCAAACATGGAACGTGACCTCTCGGAAATCGTTCCTGCTCAGACATGGGAAAAGTGTTGCACAGTGTTACGTAACTGGACAGAGACTCCTATTCTACTCTGTGGAGAAAGTTGATTGTAATCCTTTGTAAGTGCCAGACCAGTTTGATTGGACTCACCAAACACTGCGCAAACCAGCTCTGGTAGTTAGAAGCCATCCCCATTTATAGTATTTCTCATGAAATGACTGTGCAGTGTGAAATACTGAAATAATGTTTTAAATGGTTGTTTCCTAACAGTTGAGACTGGATAGAGACCACCAGACTGTTTCTTTTATTCATGAATGGTTTGAAAGAGACATTCAATAAAGATGCTTTGCAGCTCCAAACAATAGCTTTCCAAATTTAGATGATCAAACACATGCATTACAGTTCTCAAAAACATCTGCAAATCATTACAAAGAGATACTTTCAGGTTATAGCCTGAATAAAGGTAGAGGGAAAATAATGACAGTAAGAAATACACATGAAAGACTTGGCAAAATAGCTTGCTCCTCTACAAATGGGACCCAGTTAGGGGAGTTTCATTCAGATTGCCTTTGGCTACTATTTCAAGACCTGAAAGATGCAAACTCAGGAAGACAAACTAACATTGTATTAAAGATCTCAGATCACAACATTTTTAGTAGTCAAGTTAGTCTGGCAGGCATGCAGATTTGTTTTCTAAACAAAAAGTGGTGCTTTCTTTCTAAACAATTCATTGTGAGCTATTTGTCATTGCAAACAGCTTCTGGCAGTTGACCAATTCTTTTCAGAGATTCTTTAAACCAAATGCCCATTAAAACCTTTCCACTCAACAATAGCATTGATTCATTCTTAATAAAAAAATTGCTCTAATTACTGTATTTGTTAGAGGAGAAGGTATAAAGTTCCATATCCCAAACAAAACTGTTAACACAACAGTATAACTTTTTTTTCTTTTTCTCCCCTTGTATCTTGTAGTAAATATGCAGCAAAATTGCAGTAAGTTTTATTCCCATAGTTGGGGAACTACAGATCTTATAAGCTAGAAGTAATGTTGTCTGAATAGGGGCTACTGGATCGGGGTCCATCCCAGTTTTAAATTATTTTTCTCTTCTCACCATGGGAAGAAAGCACAACAAAAGTACATTGAAGAAATATTATTGAATAAAATATACCCCAGTTGTAGAGAGAGAAATTCTGGACATTTGAGATAAAAGATCACTTATCTTTTAGAACAAGTTTTAAAGCATATAGTTACATTGGTTTTCATACTATTTTTTCCTTTTCTGTTAATATAGTCTTTGCTTTTTTGCTATTCAATATTATTATTACACGGATAATATTAAATGCATCAAATACATAGACCTATCTGGTGGTGTTGGTCATAGTGGTGGTAGATGTAATAATAACATCTTCCTTTGTACATAGTAAAGGTAGTTTATATAGAGGACATTAGACTAGCACGTGAGAAATCTGGAGTCTAGTTCCTATTGTCACGGCTACTTACATGATCTTGAGAAAGTCACTAACCCATTCTGGGTCTTAGTTTTCTTACCTGTAAAGTGGAGGTAATCCTCCCTGCCTCCAAAATACAATCTCATGCACCTGAGTTCAATAGAAAAACACATAAATACTAGGGCTGTGTGAGGCTTCAGACCATGCTTTGGATCCAGAGAAGATTCAGATGCTTTGGAGTCCAAAGCAGCATGTCCGGATCGAAGTGCTGGCTTCTTTAGGCTTCCCAAAGAGGTTCAGAGCTTCCGAACTGCTTTGGAAAAGCTTTGGAGCCACTTCGGAGATCCGGCCATAGGGTATAATGGGGAATCAATGAAATATCTATAACTTCGTTGTTTTTTGTCTGATTTGGATGAAACTTGCAGGGGTGGTAGCCTCTGCAGAGAGCATGAACCCTGCCATGTTTCAAGAAGATAGATACAGGGGTTTGGGAGGAACTGCACCCCAAATTCTTGAAAGCAAAACTCATGTCACTCATGTCACATGTATGTGTTACACCACAGGGGGTAAAAACTGTTTATCTATAACTTCGTTGTTTTTTGTCTGATTTGGATGAAACTTGCAGGGGTGGTAGCCTCTGCAGAGAGCATGAACCCTGCCATGTTTCAAGAAGATAGATACAGGGGTTTGGGAGGAACTGCACCCCAAATTCTTGAAAGCAAAACTCATGTCACTCATGTCACATGTATGTGTTACACCACAGGGGGTAAAAACTGTTGGGATGGTGGCCTCTGCTGGGGCCACAAAGCCTGCCAAGTTTCAAGAAGATAGGTGCAGGGGTTTGGGGGGAACTGCACCTCAAGCTGCGGACAAGAAAACTTGTGACATGGGTGACACTGTGTGTGTTAAGGCGCAGCAGGGTGAAAGCTGCAGGGATGGTAGCCACTGCTGAGACCATGAAGCTTGCCAGCTGTCAAGGAGATAGGTACAGGGGTTCTGGGGCCCTGCACCTCTAGCTGCTGACAGGCAAAACTTGTGACATGGGTGCTAGTGCAACTGACTGTCTCTGTCTTGGGGAGTGGGCAGGGGTGGGAACTACTGCAGGCCTGGCTGCTAAGTTACTGTGTTACCAGTCACTAATCAAAAGTGATTAGTGATGATTCACTCAGGGACCGGCTCAATACACAGTAGCTAGCTAATGTAACCAGTTAACAAGAAAGGATTAACACCTACAAAACCACAGAATAAAGAGAGGAAATAATCAATACAGACCATCAAGTGCCCCAAGACAGACACAGTCAGTCCCACAAGCACCCATGTCACGAGTTTTGCCTGTCAGCAGCTAGAGGTGCAGGGCCCCAGAACCCAGAAGCCCCTGCACCTATCTCCTTGAAAGCTGGCAAGCCCCGTGGCCTCAGCAGGGGCTAGCAGGCTTGCAGCTTTCACCCTGCTGCACCTTAACACACAGTGTCACCCATGTCACAAGTTTTCCTTGTCCGCAGCTTGAGGTACAGTTTCCCCCAAACCCCTCCACCTATCTTCTTGAAACTTGGAAAGCTTCATGGCCTCAGCAGGGGCTACCACCCCTGCAGTTTTCACCCCCCTGTGGTGTAAAACATACACATGACATGAGTTTTGCTTTCAAGAATTTGGGGTGCAGTTCCAATGTTGCAGTAAAAACAACAAAGTTATAGATAGTTCATTGATACCCTAGTATACCCTATGGCCGGATCTCCAAGGTGGCTCCAAAGCTTCGGAGCCGCTTCAGCCAGATCGAAGCGGGAAACTGATCCAGAGCTCTGGATCAGATCGCTGACATCTGAAGTGGCCGGATCTGAAGCCAGACCGAATAGCTGCCTACTCGCACAGACCTAATAAATATAATGAAAGCATATATGAAGGGAGATGGACTCAACCCTATCTTATACTCTAAAGCATCTCTTTCTTTCCCTCTAACAATAATAATATTATTTAAAAGAGAAGGAGAGGTTATCAAATGATCCTTGCTTATCTTGCAATTACTGCACTCAAGAAGCTGAGGGGAACTTGCAAACTTACAAAGTCTGTTCCACTAGGCAACATTACACAAGGTTTTTGAGCAGCCTAGGTTTTTAGCTTGGAGTAGCACTGACCTGATTTGTAGTATTGTCCAGGCTTGTTGTATTGTCAGTTTAGTGGAAACTGGATCAATTAGTGGTGCTTTGCAATTTCCTAAGAATGTGCACAAAAGGGCTGCATTCTGTCCTTGAGTACAATTGCACACAGTGCTCTAAGGAAGCAAGGATACAAACATTAGAACTCCAAATGGATGACATTAGAGGGGATATTTTTTGTTGTTGTTGGAAACGAGACAAAAGATAAATTACGGTGATAATTTGTAAGCCAGGGAGAAAATCAGCTAACTAATCAATAACTTTCACGTTTCCAGATGGCCTTTCCCCAGCTGCTGAAGTCTCAAAATATCACCCTGATGGTCTTACCAGAATGGGCATGCACAGCCAGCAGTTCAGAGAGTTTAACTTTTCTTAAGGCTCCAGGGTGACAGATGAGCATTATTGGAAAGTATAGTCATAAACAGCATAAGGAGTCAAAACAAAGGTTAAAAGTAAATTGAATACTTCTTATAAAGAAATGCACTATCCAACTCTTGAACTGTTTAAGTTTTATACATGGTCCAATAGGCAAATTATCCTTCCCTTAGCTCTCCCTAAATCTAGCAAACTAAACAGATAATATATGCAAGACAATCTCCCAAGGTACTCATAGATGCAGATCAGTTGAGTCGCTTGGGGTAGAAATAGATGTTGGCAAATGGAGCAGATCAGCTGTGCAAGGATGTGTCCTGGCACAGCTGATTTGCTTCACTGGGCAAAACATACGTTGCCCATTGTCACACCCTTTGATGCTGAGAAACATGGGCAACGTGTTCTCCCAGGGCTTGAGGGAACTGGTCCTGTGCACCCTGGGAATTCCTGTGTGGTATTGGGAGCCTCAAGCCCTTGGAGTACCTGTTTGACTTTCCCTGCTTACCAAGATGCACCCCATAGATCCTAGGGATTCATGTCAGTATGCAAGGAAACCCCAACTTCCCCTGCTTCTGGAGGCACACACCAAGAATTCCCTGGATGCACAAGATTGGGTCTCCCAAGCCCACAGAGCACCTGCCCTGGGCAGCTGGAGAGTGCGAGCAGCTCTGAGCGGCCTTTGCTCTTGCACCACAACATAAACAGATGTCCATCATTAAGAATGACACAAAATGATATTGACTTAGTTGTGGTGACTATTTGTGGTGCGACAAGTGGTTTGGACATCTGTTAGCTTGGCCTTTGGGCCAACAAAAATGTTTTTATGGAGGTACAAAGATGATGTCTATTCCCAACCTTATGGGCACTTAGGGTCAGAAGGACACTGGCATTCCACAGGAGAAACTCCACTTGAGCTGCATCATCAGCATTAAAGTAAGGCTCATGGGCTGGGCTGTAAATCTTCTCCCACAAGGGCAAGCAAAACTTCCAGGGTCTAGAACAGTGCATAAGTTGTAAAGCACACAGAATGATCTGTACCACTTTCTGTTCTCCTTTAGGGAAGACTGCATTGGTTGGAACTGGCTGGATGACAAGGTGGCTTAGAGACAGGGACAACAGAGAGTTATCTGTTATCTCTGACTCCAAAATTATACTTGCCCCTTTTCAGCAGCAAAAAATGTCAGAAGCAAATGTTTCAGCTTTCAGAGCATATTCTGTACTAGTGTAGCAACCATTCCTCCTTTTTTGATGACTGAGGTCTCAGTGCCCAGCAGGATTAACACCCTGGACAAGTTTTAAAGGTACCAGCACCTAAGCTAACTAGCAAATCTTTTACACGTTACTGTACATCTTTAACTACACATTCACAAGTGCAACTAACTGTGCAAAGAAATGGGCAGTGTGAACAGGCAAGACGCCCTTGTGAATGTGCAGCTTTCAGATTTGCATGTCAAAGTAAATGTATGTTTGCACATCTGCACACAATTTACAAGTACATCTTACTGCAAATATCCATCTTTTAAGTAACCTAATTTGCAAAAGTTTGTGCAAGGATATTCCAAGAGAATTAATCAGCTGTTTAAAGAAATTAGAATAATGCAGTATTTGGAAATACAAACTTTCCCATCTTTTCTCAGCTGGTCCTGGTCTGGGAGTACTCAAGCAGGGGGGTTCCAAACTCACCTGGACCCCCGAGCCAAATCTGGACCACAGGGCTTCTTGTAGGCCAGATTCAGCCAAGGCATGAGGGCTGCCACAGTGGCCACAATGAACAGTAGTGGCAGTGGTGAGGGGTCTGGCTGTGGTGAGGTAATTGCAACAGGTCTCGGGTATTCCAGGGGCAGTAGTGGTGATCCAGACTAGTCGCTGATGGCCATTCCCAGATGGGCTAAAGAGCCCTAGAGTCTGTGGCAGACCATGCCCGCAGTTTCCAATGCCCACCAATAGCCCAGTACGCCAGGTAGAGAGACTCTGTGCTTTATATATTTGACACCCCTGCCCTAAAGGACAGAGTAATTTGCATTCCTCTATAACCTGTGTCCTCTCTGCTGGACAAAGCCAATGTAATAATGTTTTTGTACTGTGTGCAAATGTGTCCATAAGTACTGGAGTGACACCCACCAGTTCATTTCATATAGGTGAATGAAGAGCTCTTAAATAGTAGCAACTTTTGGTCACTGTTCATGGAAGTTAGATTTGAACTGGAAACTTGCTCTTCAGGGGAAATACCATATTTTCTCACATATAACAACCACCTTTTCCCCCATGACCAGCTGCTAGAAATTGGAGTGTGAATTATTATGCAACAAATATGGTAAGAGCATCTACCATTCACTGGCTGAAACCAAAAGTAAAATCTGCAGGGATCCACAGGGAGCAGAACAATGAACAGGCTCACCTCCCTGCTAGTTGCTTACTACAAGAAGAGATTTTTTTTCTTCATTCTGTCATTCAAAAATAAGGTGTATTTTATTTTCAGGGCATGTTGTATACAAGAAAGTGTGTTACTCTATCTCCTAGTACTTATCTCTCACTCCCCTTTCCTCTGTTGTTTTAAATAGCATTAAAATGTTTTATGGCTTTGTTTGTGATATTATTACTTTTTAAAGAAAAATGGCTGTTACGCATGAAGGCTAAAGTGCCTGAGATAACTCATGCTGCAATCATTTTAAGACTTCCCTTGTATTAAACGTGAACTTCAGTCAACAGGATTTTGGAAAGCTAATAGGGTGGAGGTAAGGTCAAGCACAACACTAATGTAATCTTCCTCTGTTCCCGTTGTCTCATTTGTTAGCTGTTATTATTATGGCTTGGGTCAAAATATTTGAAAGTAATCACATTCTTCCTGCCAAAAACCATAGCAGTAACAGACAAAAAACAAAACAAAACAAAAACCAGCCCCCTCCCCACCCCAAAAAAACCCCAGTATGGAAAGTCTAGCCCTAACAGCTCCTTTTTTCTCTTTATTTCTGCATTTGCCAACACATACAGTATATATGTGTAACATGTATTTCTTCTGCATTTATCAATATGTACGCTCTGCATGTGTATGTGTATATGTGTGTAATTTTTATCATAGTGCGAGCCTTTTTTTTTATTTTGAGCTTCTCTGCAGACTTAGATCCCTGACTTGCAGGCAATGTAAATTAAATACAGTGTTATTACATGTACCTTTCATTTCACAGGCTTGATCCTTGCTGTGTGGGTGTACATGTACCATGTGTGTTAACCTTTTTTTTTTCCTTCTGTCCGTAATCCTTTCCCAGTAATTCCACAAGATATCTGTAATGGAATTGTCAATCAAAAATGAGCCGGAGGAAAATGCTGTCTCAGAGTATAAAATGGCTTGGGCAGACTCTCAACACTGTAATCCTCGGACCCAGTGGCATCTGCAAAGCTGCTGCAGCAGCTGGATCCAAAGCCTGCCAATGGATCAGTTGCCATCACTAGTAAAATGCCATCCATAGGCTGATATCTGGATCCTCAAGAAAGTAAAGGAAGAGGAACAAAATGCGAAAGGCAAGTAGCAGTGAGATAGGAGGAATTGTGTTCAGCTTCAAATTAAATCTTTCTGCTTAATTTCATGGTTTTTCATGTGAAATTGTTTCTTTACATAGTAAGCTCTGACCCACTTTTACTGCATTCCTCCAAATCCATGATATACTTCTAATATGATTCAAGAACATTTGATCACAGGGCAGTTAAGTAGACACTGTAATGTGCATGTGATTGAAGAAATGTGCAGTATTTGTGAGTTGGTTCTTCTTTTCATGCTAGGGCTTTTCTTAAATTAAGGGTGATGTCGTCGAAAAATAAGAAAAATAAGAAGGCTATGATAATGTCCTAAAACAAGCTTTGGGTGCATCAGTCTTCCAGAAAAGCAGACTACATACTTTAGAAGATTTAAAATCTTTCCATAGATTTTGTGGACTCTGAGCTCCATGAGCATGTGTATTATTATTATGTTGTGTGGAGAACTTGCTGTCATGCAGTCACTGTGCAAACAATCTTTGAACAGCAAACACACACTCTTACTAAATTTATGAATGATCCTATAAGGTGGCCATTTATTTAAAATGTAATGACTGTAAATATGTTTTGTAAGCAGGATTCCTTTCTTCATAGCATGATTTTATAATTATACACACACATGATGTATTGGAAATTCACAGGTAATTAGTAATAAAAGACAATCATGGTGTGCTGTACATCATCTCTCTGAATGTTTTGAATCTCATAACTTCTTGTTTCAGTAAGATCAGTCTTTGGGGCTAATCTCTCCCACATGTGCAATGCTACAAGATTGTCTTCACTATGGAGCAAAGAGAAATTGCTTAAGTAAAGGTAGTGACTGTATGAATCATAAACCACTTTCTCAGATAAAGGCCATTAAGTAAGTCTGTGTACGTATTTGACACTTTATTTCGCAGCCTTTGACAGCCCTTTGGAAGAGTTTAAGAAACCGAGATCTGACTAAAGCTTTCAAAAATTCATCGCTGAGTATTTGTTAACCTTGCTCTCTGTGATAGCTGTAGAACAAAGATAATACTCTACAAATGGAGATAAATTACTATCTTTCTAAAGATTATCACCAGTCTTAATCGCATTTGCTCCTACAGTTGAACGGTCAGTGACCTTGTTACTTACACAACAAACATTTCTGCTATTTTATGTTTATACGTAGTATGTTTAATCTAACTAGCCTGCTGAGAACAACTCCATGGATTTGTTATAGTTA